GGTGAGGATGTCATTTTTCTTTTGTCGTCTCACTTTGATTTCTTCTACGAACACAAATTCCAACAATACATGGAACTTAAGGCTTGTCTTTTATAATAGGAACACATAGCCTGGTGCATTGGTCCTTTGTTGTTGGATTTCCAATTAAATCCTTATCTTTTTAGCAATAGTTAGATATCTTTGTCAAATTGGAAGACTTGCTTATTTCCTTGAATGCAAAAATTTTGGTGTTAGTTTCGAAGATACTAATAGCAAATGCAAAAACTTTGGTTTTAGGTTCGAAGATATTAATAAATATTTCTCTCAAAAGAATTTCTTAAGCAAATGCCTGCCATCCAGATTTTGTTATGTATTCTTTCAAATTTTGTCTTTTATCTAACTTCCAAATGTCATCTCCAATTCACCTTGGCTTAGTGTTTGAAAGCTTTAGCTTTAGAGATCTTAGGTTTCAGGTTTTAAATATGTGGTGTTGTGTGTTTGGGTGTTCGCGTGAAAAAATAAAAATAAAAAAAGACCTTTCAATTGTCATTTGATCCATTTTTCCATTACATGACTAATAGGATAGAATTAAGCTCGAAGTTTAAAATTGCACAATTAAATATTGAGGATATTTTATCTGTGTAGTGAGACATAAGCCTCGAGTTATTTTGAGCGTCAGAATCAATAAATTGAACAAAACAATAAGTATTATATTATGTACAAAGTATATAGTAAGAAGAAATATTTTAACTTTACCTATCAATAGGTTAAATGTAACATTTTAACATCCTAATAGGATCAAAGTAATTTTTTTCAAAATAGGAAGTAGCATGTTAACATTGAAAATCATACAATATGAAAGGTTATACAAACATCAATGTGTGACATAATACCATAATAATTATAAATAGCCCAATAAAATTAATCTCTAATACTCATATTGTCATCCATCAAAGTAAAAACATAAATGCGAAAATTTTTAAATTCAAAAGTCTCGTGACACTTATCACTTAATAAACATTCATTAGAATCATCAGTATAAAAATTTACTTTCTTCCTCATCCATCTTCAATTGCATTTCTAATTCCCTCATTCATCCTATCTTAAACCTCAATCAATTTATTTTTATTTAAGCAGAATTAATTAATAAGCTATTTATTAGATTTTTAAATAATTACTATGTTGATAATCACAATTTTAATTATACTGTCAATAATGTATTATGTGGTTATGCAAAGAATGTTTATTAGAATTATTTTACTTATATTAATTTAGAAAAAATGATCAAATCATGTACGTTGCACCAAAACTAAGGCTTGGCTAGCTTCAAATTATGTGAGGGTCAAGTCTCAATGTAGTACCCAATGAGACGTAAGCCTCATCACCAATTTTTCAAAAAAGAAATGTTTAGACAAACCTCAAAACGGGTCTCATATTGTGCAATTTTAAACCATGATTAAACTTTTAACAATCTTTAAAACTATAACCATGCAATAGTTGGCATTTCATAGTTTTCATATTGTGAATCCTAACCGCACAAAAGTACTAAAAATAGTGTTATTAAAGCGCAAAGAGTAGAGTGAAGCGACGCTTTTATCAACCAAAACACTAATAGGTCATACAAAACTATTAATATATAAATACATGCATTATCAATTATAAAATATAAAGTATGACTTAAAATTTGATATAAAATAGAAAAAAAATGTGGTACAATACATAACTTGAAGATAAATATTGGGGGTATACCTGCAAATTAAAATTTCAATCAATTTTTAATAATATGGTGTAATAATTAAAAATAAAAAAATTACAAAAAAAACAGCAAATTAAGTCCAGCGCCTCAACGAAACAAAGCAAAGCGAGTGTTGCGTGCTTCACTTTACTCAAGAAGCACACTTTTTAAAACATTGACTACAATTAAGAAAATATAATTTTTTATCAGGATAATTGTAAACCGTGAAATGTTCTAAAAACAAAGAAATTGTCAATTACCTTAGCTTTGATAATTTCATCAAAGTAAAGAAAATTCAAAAACATAGAAAACTAGTAAATAAGAGGCCAATTTATAACCTTATTTGATAAGACAAATCTTACATAAGGGTAACCTAGTAAATAAGAAACTTTTCTTATTGCAATTCTTAAAACATGCTAAATGAAGATAAATACAGCTTAAATCAAAAGAAGTTTCCTTTTGGATCTCCTTACGGGTGGCAAATCATGATAGGATTAAGCGAAGGGCTTAGGAGAGTGTATTTTAAGTAATTTTCATAGTTCCCTCATCTTGCATCATTTTTCTCTTTGATCGTTCATGTAACAAGAATTTTAGTTCTTCAAATTAAAATTTAATCTCATCCAATACTTGCATTTCTAACCTTCCATTGAACATTTCATAATTTTCATAAGAGCTCCTCGATCACTATGCACTATGTAATAAAATTTTAAACTTTTTTTTTTACTTTTGCGCAAAATTCTCTAACGACAAATATGAATGATACTAATATTAAACTGGGGAATTAGTTGTCTCCTAAGGCACTACTATAGTCATTACATGTCATTGCACCCCGAGTGTTAGGCTACTTCTTATTGTTCCAAGTTGTTGAAGCAATGTAGAGGGAGGCTAACGATCTCCCCTATAGGCCTATTGCCTTTATTTCTTCTCCAACAACAATAAAAACATATCCTTAACTTTCAATTCAAGAATAAGTCATAAAAGACATCAATTACTACAAATAATCACCTCAGCCACTGAAGGAGGCTGCTCCTATAGTGGTGAGGACATCAAAGAGATTAATCAAGGCCTAGCTTAATATAATGAAAACTAGTTGGGTTCACAAAGACTAGTTTGACTTTGGTCCAAGAGGATTATTGTTGTTTGATTCGTCATCTCAAGATGTGCATTAAACATCAAATCATGATCACATAAATCTCTACACCAATATTGCACAATATTAGCACTTCGATCAAAACAAAGATTATGTTAATTAGCGACCAACCAAGAAGGCCATCAAAGTGATTATGATGTTTCTTACATCCATCAAATCATAAATAATATTTATATGATATATGAACACAATATTAGTTAATAGCAACATCAGGAATGATCATTAGTATCTGTGTGGCACAAGCACAACACCAATACTGTCATATCCATAAAATATCTGAAAGCCTACTGCACATTGATGCTAAAGAACTTAAGAGTCACAACCCTAACAAAAGTTTAGTGGGTTTAAAGAACTACTCCTCTTTAGTTCAATCAAAACAATCTTCCATGAGCTCGATAACTATATGTTCAACCATGTTCATCCAAAAGATAATTAATAAATTGAGCATCACAAGGCTTCTACAAAACTCCATGCTACGAAGGAGTTGATAGTTTCTTATCTAGATTGCTTACATCCAAGAGTGCCCAAAGGGGAAGATGTAAAAAACAAATGAATTCCACATTTTAAATCTTGGGAATGGTATTTTTGTCCACCGAAATACAAAAAATTTATTGACAAACAACCATTATAATGACAATCTACTCAATAATTACCACTAATATGTTGAAATAACCTTCTTTCGGATTCTAGGAAAACCCCAAACCCCAAGTATTGAAGGCATTTCTTCTTCGGAAAACAACATGGTTGGGCTTCTCTTTGTCTGTTGCAAGTTCGTTTACCAATATTGGAGAGCCCGTAGTGCTAAGAAGCACGGTAAGATGTTCGGCACTCCAACCATTCTCACATCTAATAGTTTGGAAGCCATGAGAGAAACCTACAAATTCCATTTTTCTAAGCAATGGGACAGCAATCAGTCTAACTAACTGTTGCAATCTTCCAACCAATGTCCCTCCATCAGGGATGGCTTAAATTTAACTGGATGGGGCCTTACTCCCCTCCCACATGGTTGGCATCGGCATCATTCATCATGATGAAACAGGTCTTGTTCTTTTTGCCACCGGCGAGCCTATTGAACACAGGGACAGCACTTACATGGAGCATCGAGCCATTTGTTCCATCAAAAAGTTTTTCAAGCCATAGAAAGCTAAACCACAACACGCGGAAGATTTTTCTTTTTGCCTGCTTCTAAGCAAGTTTTGTTTCAACACATGGATAGAAAGAAAAAATTGGTCGCACATGCTTGTGCACATGGGACCTTACAGGATATTTTTTGCTATGAAGGTGGATAGCTCCCACTTTCTTTTTTTCCTTTGTTGATTTTGGCCGAGCCAATTTTTGGTGGCTCGGTGTAGCTTTCTTGTAACAATCTTTTATTTCTGTTAATGCAAATTGCAATATTTCAAGTAACTACGAAAGGAGTGAAGATTGCAGATAAGATAATGTTTCTCAAAAATTCAGCATAAAGACTTGATTTCTTACTGATTTCACAACAAAGATCATTTATCATGATATGAAATGTTTGCATACAACAGGAAAGCAAAAAGTTCAACACTACATCTCCAAGTTGAATAATTAGGATATACCGTAACCAATTAGGTGCAAACACAATCAGAAGTTAGTAGGTTTGTACATTGTAAAATTGAAGATTATAGTAATATAACTATTACATGAGGTCATATGAAGGGGTCTAAGACCATATATCAAACTTAATGGCAAAAGAACGAACATGCAAGAGGCTCTCCAGATCTCAATCATACACAATTCTAATCTAATCTCCCTTATAAAAATCACATTGGACCAAACAATTAAATTTTCCCTATTAAGATCCAGAAAAAGAAAATCATAAACTGGGTTGATGGGTGCGCCAGGAACAAAATTAAGCAAAAAATTTCACGGAAAATAAAAACAACTAGAAAGCTAAAATCAAACCAACAGAAAAGGCCTAATTACCGAAGGATCCACGATTACGCCTTCAAAATAAAAAAAAAATTCAAAAAAAGCAACTTCACGAAAAATACAAACCCTAAAAATAACATCCCCAGCACCCGCCACAACAAACAGAACAAAATTTTTTAAAAAGCCGAAACCTAAAGAAATCGGAGAAGGACAAACGACATAAAAAGCAAAAGAACAAACCGGTAAGACGATGACGAGGATTCTCAAGGGCCTCCACGAGGAAGGGATCAACCTGCGATAGCTTTCCTCTCTCCTCCACCTCCTTTATAGAGACGGTTACATCCGCCGGCTCACATGAAAAGCATCCCGGAGAAGATTCCATATTCTTCTCGCCTTCTGACTTCCTTTTCCACTTCGTAAAGGTGAGGAAGAAGAGAAAAGGTGGAGTTCCCTCCCTCTGCCGTCGTCCTTCCGAAGGGGGAAACTGAAGAGAGACGACGAAGCGACCGCCTTCCTCTTTTGATTCCATAAGCCTGCAAATAAAAAAGAAAAAAAAGAATATAGATCGATCTCAGCCGTCCATGATTCTGATCGAACGGAGATGCTCGCTTCGATTTGTTTAATACTTGCTTGTGGGCATGATCGGGTTTGAAAGGGCTATCGCGATTCGTAAATATGCACCGTCCACGATGAGATCGTTGACTGAACGGTGCAGATTCATTTCACTAGTTTGACAATGTGACCTTTTTTTTTTAAGAGAGGAAAAAAATTTTACTTTCATCACTTGTTTGGGATCATTTTTTTTAACAAATTTATTAAGTGCATTTTTTTCTTATTTTTAATGTTTGATTTTAAAATGCAAAATAATTTTTTTAAAACAGTTAAATCATCTAAAGGCCATTTTAAGTGTTTTTAAAAATAACTAAATATTTTATAAGATATCAAATATAATTTATTTTAAATAAAATTAATAAAATAAAATAAAATAAAATAGAAAAAAAAATTTGATTCCAAACGACCTTAATTTTTATGTATTTACATATTTAACGCCATATTTACATGCATAGCATAGCATGTTGGTGCTTTAAATATTTACATGAATTTATATATTTTACTTTTAAAAAGCAGTAATAATATAATTTTTATGTGTTGCTAAAAACTTTAGTGATGTTTGTGCAAATATGAAAGTTTAGGTATAAGATATAAATTTGTTTATTTTTATACTAAATATAACAACTTTTACTTAAGTCTATTATAATATTTATAGAATCCAAAACATAGTTATCTAAAGCTAACACCACATACCACATGTTATGTTAACATAATTTTAAAAATATATATAGTTTATTGAGGATAAATAAAAATTAACTTTAAAAAGTTTTTCACCCCTAAACTTGAATTTTTAAATATTGTAAAACATTACAGTACCTAAAAAGTGTGAACAGAGAAAAATTTAACAGATTAAATATCTATCACAGGGTTCTAAACATGAAATTAGTACAGGTACAAGAAATAAAAGCATGTATTTATAGGAGTAAGTAAATTTCAAAAACAGGTTTAGCAAGTAAAGTCCTAAGTAAAGAACTACAATCACATACAGGCGGTATATATAAAACAAGGTACTTGAAGTGGAGCGAAAGTAAATAGCTCTAAAGTTCACAGCGACAGAAAATAAACATAACATAACGTTTAGCACACCACAACATCAAGAGAAAAAGTCCATGACAAACAGGGAAAGTAACTATGGAGACATAAAACTACTCCTCATCATCTTCATCAACATTTTCATCCATCATCCATTAGCGCTCAAAAGGAGGGTAGTGAGGATAATTAGGAAACTCAACACTGTGATCACCACGTAAGAAGTTCACTAAGTAAGTGTTGAAGTTGGCTTCATAATTACTCTTACTTCTCATATATTGTTCTAAGTAGTCCCAATGATCTTCATTGTCCTGAAGTTGACAATGCATTAAGAACATATCGGATTGAAATTCCAGTATTCAATCTCGAAGTTCTTCCCAAATATCAGGAGGTGGAGCAGTAGCACTAGAGGTAGAAGGCCTTGAGGTAGAAGTAGATGGAATATCAGAAGCCTTACCTTAAGGTCTTCCATATATGTCTGCATTAGCTCTTTCAATAGGCTTTAGTGGCTTAAGTTGCTCCTCCCAAGTCTCATATTTCACTCCAGACTGTTCACATAAAGCAAAGAAGATGGAAGGATTTCCCGATCCCAAAGAAGAACTTCTTGTGGCAGTACTGACAATCGATCTATAGATAAGAGATCCAATGTTTATGCTCTTCATGCTTTGAGTGCAAAATTTAAAATAACTTACTCTCTTGAAACTCTATATAAGTTAGTAGTAGGTAAAAGTTGGGCAACTATGAAATAATGTCATGCTTTTGAAGGTGCATTGAGCTTGGAGGATGAAAATTTTACCTTGTGACCTTTTCTGATTTTCCAAGCTCCCCACCTATCAGTTAGATAAGCAATAATATCATTTAGTTGCATATCATTTGGTGAAAAAGTAGATGTGTAACAATCTTGAACATCATCCAACTGATAAAATGCATTAATTCTTTATGGAGAAAATTCCACCTCTCTTTCGTGTATATACACGACATTGTCAGATGAGTCAGGAAGGTTAGCGTAAAATTCCCGCACAATAGAAATAACTGCTACAGCAGTAGTGTAGCAGAATACTTCCCAATTGTGTAAATCTATTAAGTATTCTATATATCCTCCTGGGTTAATAAAAGCTCTATCTATAGTAATACTTTTCTTGAGCAAATGTAATACTTTCGAGTATGGAGCATATTGTAATACTTTTCTTTAGCCTTCACACTAACAAACTTCTTTTTGTCATAACTGCTCTTACTTTTATCTTTTCCTCTCTCGTGTTGGGAGCCATCACAATAATCTAGAGAAATTCAAAATAAATTTCATATACAAATTCTAAAGGCTCCTAAAAGTAATTTCCATGCAAATGAAGCTTCTAACCATGAATTTCTCACTAATATATCCATACTTTTTTTAATTTTTTGGTAATTTTAAATGTAGAAGAAATTTATGGTGAAACAATAACATTTCTATGCAAAAAAGTAGATCTTTCCTAGATAAGAAGAAATTCAGTGGTTTTAAGCTCTAAAATTTGAAGAATCCAAAGCTAGAGGAAGCCCTAGAATGAGTTTCGACGAAATAAAGAGGAAGAAGACAACCTTGGAAGCAAAAAAGTGGATTCCGCCGGTCTAAATAGCGAATAAAGGGTTACCTGATTGGTTTAGTTGGATTGATGCTTAGGTATTAGTTCTGACACTTAGGCGTCGTGCTAAGTGATATACTAGCACGTAGGCACCAATTTTGGAGCTGAGACGCTAGACCCAATTTTTGCAAAATTGTTTCGTTAAAGTGCAGCACAACAAACCTAAGGTCCCTGAACCATAATTACATTGATTTAACATCATTCCACTAATTAATTATCTTCCAAACATCTCCCAACTTCCATTTACTCAATTTTAACTTTCAAAATTCAAATCATCCAAACATATTAATACCATAGAATTTCTCACAAACTTAACACAATTTAAATTAAACCAACAAAGCTTCAGTACAGCGGTCAAAACAATGCAACAATAGAAATCAAGCAAACATTAACATAGGGACCATACCATGTATTACAGAACACACACATACTTCTAAGCTCGACACACTAATTGCAAACATAAACATTGAGTTTCTAACTCACTTAAATCTTCGATTACTAATAATTTTTGGCACAATTAACTTCTACCTTTTTGGTCATCATTAGATAGTTACAATCAACAAAGTGGTAGAAAGGAGCGCAAAGAAAGTATTCAACAACTTTCTCTTCAATCCACTTATTCTCACAATACATATTTACCTGATACTCCTAATAATACGCTGAGTGATTGAATTGGAGTTTCATCTGCCACTCTAAATGCTCGTATTGGAGATACAGGTGATGCGCATCAGGTGTGTGCTATTTTTCTGCTTGTTTTATGTCAATTTAAATCCCCGGTATAGTGTCAAAAACTTGACCCATCCCAAAATTACAAAGTAATTTAGCTTCCAAAATATGACCAAAAACTTCACCCAATTCACATTTAACGGGTAATGTGTAAAATCAAAATGTTACAAAATATATAAAATAGTTCACAGACTAGAGGTTCTATGCAACTGCACGTATCGCTTCAAGTAATATAGGACTTTCTCTAAAAACTGCAATATCGATCCCACAAAGAAGCAAGGTAAGAAACCCCTTAGGCTAATTCTAATATAATAGTATCAGTCCTTAGTTTGGAATGTTGATTCAAGTGATTTTTCTAACAAGTACTCCTAAATGTAAATCTTATGTTTAAAACAACCAGCAACTATCCCTAAATGAAAATATTAATTTTAAAGGTAACCCTTTGGATGATTTGGTTTGGAGAATTTTGGAGAATTTTGACATGTTAAAAACGATTATTCTTATGTGGTGAATTGGATAAGATATAGGAATGAGATACATTAAATATTGCATGTGCCAAATAGGAGTAATCATTTTGTTTACCCTCTGAGAGTGCATAAAGAACATTAACTAATACAGAGTTTGGTCCTTAAATTTGTTTAAATTTGTGGTTAGGTTGAGGTTAGGTTGAGAGGATACTGGCTCCCTCTCCAGAGCTCCCACTTCTCCCTCCTCTGAGGGATAACAATCTCACTTTAGTTTCCAAACAACTGGATCAAATTAGGGATTTTAGTCTGTCGCTCTAAAATCTCCACTTTTACACCCATAAAAGTTTATTTCTCTATTTATTTTCACTCAAACCTATAGACTATATTCTCATCCATGAAATTTAATGTGATTCTTACTTTGTTGTAGAAATCATAGCCCTTTCGGATTTTATGTTTCTCAACAATTTTTAACATTACAACAGGCTTAAATTACAATGTGAATGAAGATCAAGTATAAACCATTACATTTATAATTAAATTACATACTAACATGCATCCCAAAATCCTACACATAAATCTTACTCATTGCAAAAGAAAAGTAAAATGAAAACAATAGCATAAACTTCTCATGCCACTATTTCCAAACAAGAAGAAAGAGTAAGAAAAACTACTCACAAAGCACGAACAAAACACATTGGAAAACTTCATTAAATCAAAGGAAATCCACTAGGTAAGTATTTAAAAATCATAATATAATGAAGAACACAATACTTAGCTTTTTCCCTTTGAAAAATAGATGAAGATCTCTCCCACAAAGTCTCTCATTGATCCATGCACTATTAGTACAACTCCTTACAGATTCTCTCAAAATCCCCTCTCTAATCTCTCCAGAATAGGTAGAAATCTACATTTCTATTCCTATTCTAAGATCTCTAAGTATTCTTCTCATTTTTCCTAACATACACACCCACACACACATGCCATGAGAGGCGTCAGCCCCTCATATTTTAAAGAGACACAAAATTCCTTATTTTTTCCAAAAGACACATCTTTTCATTCTGAG